CACTACAGGCACCACATACAAGAGACCCTTGTACAAAGACTAAAAGCATTGGGTGGGGGGACTAGGATCCTGTTTCTCACTCAGTCTTCCTTAGATTAAGTGCTATATCTCCCCCACAAGGTGGTGGCCTATTCGCCTCCGCCACATAACCATGTAAACTAATTAAAACTTTGCAGATGTTTCTGATTATTCTAAGGTCGTGGGTTCGATTCCCAGGGAACACACATACTGGTAAAAAAATGTATAGCCTGAATGCACTGTAAGTCGCTTTGGATAAAAGCATCTGCTAAATGCATAAATTAAACTAAATAAGCTTTTAATAAAGTGTAGACATCAAAGTAGTCAAATCGCATTATAATGATAATGTAATTACAACTTTATAGCTGAAATTAAGCCAAGCTTAAGTTAAGCCAAGCTGACTAGCATTCGTTTATTGATTTCTTTATTGAATAAATACTTATAATATATACAAGAGTAAATATTGTGATTTCAGAGAGATTTGACACGTCTAACTAAAGCGATGTTAAACGAGTTTTTTTCTTCTTCTTTCTTTTTTTACTGACCAAAAGAGAAAAGCACATCATCGTTCGTGCGCTTGCGCGTGCCTCAAAAGAGGGCTTACAATAACTTACACTTGTAATTTAGCTGTTATGTATCTTTGTATGCACTACTTGCTTTATGCAAGCACTATATAGTATAAATCACTATACAGGATTTACCCTATTATACTTTATCGACACGAATTGATAGCTGAAACAACAAACAGCCACCCACAAATAGTCTAGAAACAAAGCATCAGGCTGTCTTTGAGTTCACATGAACAACGGTTAAAGTTACTCGTCGTCAGGCTACAGAAGAATACCATAATTCCTCCGTTCAATTAGACTTAAGACATCGAGAGTCACGCAGACCTAGAACACCCCAGCCACAACACATAATTGCGAATAACATGCCTTACCTTAACACAGAATCGACCACAGAGTCCAGCGTTTATATTTTTTCTACGAATCTTCGAGTTAACATGTACTAAACATGAGTGGAATTTGCACCGCAGCGCCCCCACACCTTGATGCTCATGACAAGAATAGCATGTATAGTTCTCTTTATTTTAAATCGCCGTCATGCTTGAATGAATGTTGTTTTTGCAATTTTACACATAATAATCCACGATGATCACATTACACTAAACTGAAATTGCACGTCAAAATAACACATTGTCAATATTTTTTGAGACCCCCCAAATTTTCACAAATCACGTTTTCAGGGGAGCCCATGTCTTATTAAGGGGAGCCAGTAAAGAGGTTAGGAGAACGTTCTGTGAACGTTCCCAGAACGTTCCCCTAACCTAAAGGGAACGTTCTATTTGGGTCATTCTACAGAAACGTCCACTTTTGGTATGGCAAGATGTCTTAAAATGTATTTCTTTTTTTAACATTTAAACTTAGATCACATTATTATATTACCTTTTGACTTTATGAATACACATAAATGACAGCTTAATGATTTTTTAAAATCTGTTTTGTGCATTTATTTAAAGACCACATGTACCATTTTTTGTCACTGGTGTTACCTTAATTCTTTGGCAATTTTAAAGGTTTTTATGAAATATTATTTCTCAATTCTTTTAGTACATGTAGTCAGAGTTACAGAAAAATAACGATAATGCAAAAAAAGAAGGAGATTATGTTTTATTTATTTGAATCAGGTTTGTTAAAAGTGTGATTGAATGATGTTAGTTCATTTGCGCAACCATGTATTTGCTATAACAATCAAAATATTTGTAAAAACTGTTATAAACAAGTAATGATGCAATCCTTTATATCTTAACTCTTGAGTGAAGCAGAATTTAATGGATGTAACATTATTATCATGTCACATGTGATGCATTTTATTTAATGTGACAGAAAAAAAAGTAACACCAGTGACACAATGAAACACCAGTGATATATACATAATATATCAAATATCCTTATTCTTCAAGTATAATTAAGTAGTTAAGACTAAATTGTTACATTTGGCATACATTTGGCAATTAGTGAAAGCAGTTAGTAAAAGAACATAACCATAAACTGATCTTCACTGGTGTTACCAAGGAAGGTAACACCAGTGACACAATGAAACACCAGTGATATATACATAATATATCAAATATCCTTATTCTTCAAGTATAATTAAGTAGTTAAGACTAAATTGTTACATTTGGCATACATTTGGCAATTAGTGAAAGCAGTTAGTAAAAGAACATAACCATAAACTGATCTTCACTGGTGTTACCAAGGAAGGTAACACTTAATCCATTTGTATTCTAGTTTTTTACAATTCCCTAACAATAAAGTAGGTCATACCAGTGACTTCCACTAAAAGCTTCATATGAAATCGTGAGATAAATGAGAAAATTTCTGATAACTGAAAAGAGACAGTGGACTTAACATGGGCCTTTTTTTCATAGATCTTCAGGAAATAGGAGGAAGTCAAGTGATGTCATAAGTGTGATTTTTATTTCAAAATAAAATATTTTTGTTAAACGGTAACACCAGTGACACAACTCCAGGGGACCACTGCTTTCATTATATATTTTATCCTATTTATTTGTCATGTTGTTTATTGATTTCATTTACATCATATATTTGATAGTTATGAATACCTCATTGTATTTTAAATGGTAGAAAAACCTGTTTTTGACCTCAAAATAAAGCACTTTCCCTCTGTACATGGCTGTGGGGACGAGCAGTTTTGTGGTGCTTGGCCGTGTTGGGGGTAACGCATTACAAGTAACGCGAGTTACGTAATCAGATTACTTTTTTCAAGTAACTAGTAAAGTAACGCATTACTTTTTAATTTACAAGAGAATATCTGAGTTACTTTTTCAGACAAGTAACGCAAGTTACGTTTTTTCCCAATTTATTGACTGACAGCTCTGGTGTTGCCATGGTGACAGAAATCAGCTGTTACTGTAGTTCTAAAATAAATATGCACAGATTCAGTATTCCTCCAAATGAATAAAAATAATGCAACTCAGAATATGAATCAAACCTGCAATAATTAAATGTTAAACAACACAAATATCCTTTATGTATTTAATCCCATTCTATTAACCAATGTCTTTGCTTCTGACCTTCGATGATCCAGTTCAATCGTACTAATAAGCACAAATTACTCTAGACAAACATTTGTGTCCTTTTTTATTGCTGAAGTGTTTTGAAATTTCTTCTTCTGCGTTCTACTGTACGGAGGTAAATTTACTTTCCCTTCAGCCTGAGGCTTATTCATTTCACTTTTGGTGTGAAGAGGCTTTTATATTTGCCAAAAATATAACTTTTTTATTTTAAAAACAAACAAGCAAGCCCTGTCCAGATTTAAAAAGTAATGCAAAAGTAACGTAACGCATTACTTTCCATAAAAAGTAACTAAGTAACGTAATTAGTTACTTTTTTATGGAGTAACGCAACATTGTAACACATTACTTTTAAAAGTAACTTTCCCCAACACTGGTGCTTGGAATCCTTTATAATTAATTAAAAACAAATATTGCCACATAGATGGCTCAAGAAGGTGTAATTGTTCAAATAACATACTGTTTTATTTTAAAATATTTAAAAAATTGTAACACTAAATTGTTTTTCAAGTGTAATATTTCTGTAAAGGCTAGGGACAGAAAAATGGACGTTTCCATAGAATGACCCATTTACGTTAAGAAAACATTCCTGGCTAACCAACAGGGAACGTTCTTAGGAACGTTCCGGGAACCAAAAACTAACGTTCCCAGAACGTTCTGGGAACCACAAATTGTTAGCTGGGATATAAATATGTATAAATTATGTGTATAAATAATAAAGTTATTGTCTCTCAAAAGAAAAAGCCGACTCTGAATCATTGAAACGAGTCGTTTTTAAAACGAATCCCAAACTGTTTCATGTTGAGGTCAAAATTAAACATTAGCATATTGCCCACCCACTTGTTGGTATTTTTGCTTGGTCTGAATGAAAATGCAAATTCATTCTTTGCCACTAGGTGCCGCTTTTGGAGCGGTAAAATAGCTGTTTCCCCGGTAACGGCTGTAAACAAAGCAGCACTGCGCTCACAAACGCTGCTTTATCAGGCATTACAGGCAAGATGAAATGAAAATGAGACCAATCGGACCAATCACCGCCGATTAGCGTCACGCAAAGGAGGGGTTTGGAAAAATGAATCGTTAAACGAATCGTTATAAGACAAAGAATGTTTTTTGATCTTGCATGCATGTCAACCTGTTGTTGGGGACTCCCAAAACCAAAATATGAACCTTTCATAACCCATAATAGGGGCACTTTAACGTCTACACCTACCCCAACCCTAAACCTACCCCTTACAATAATGCAAAAATAGTAATAATTGTTGTACAGTATGAGAAACATTACGCCTTATTGATTGGTTTTTGCTGTATGCCATCTAGCCTTAACCGCCCGAGACACACTGCAAGATTTTCAGCTGTCCCAGACGAAAGATTGGCATCATGAAACAATCGTGGTGATTTCTGTGATCATGGCTCCTAAACGGTGGTCCTATGTCATACAGTGAGAGAGGTTCAAAGACAACCATTGTCACGGTCTTGCGACCAAAGATAGCTTACGATCATTTTCTGACAGTAGTGTCAGAAATTCAGCATGATCATCGCACAGTATGTTTGGTGCTACGATCCACGTTTACTGACCAGCCAATAAAAATGCGACAAGTATTAAAACATTTTTTTACCCTCTAACATTTGCTCCTTATAGTGCACTAATTGCCTTGGAGCTACCTGGAGATAAGTACCCTTCTCAAAGGCACGTGACACAATGAAGATGACTCAGGCAGAGTCCAAAATTAACCTTTTGCCATACCTGTCAAATACGGGTGAACTGAAAAAATGTACCTACAATAAACCCTTTTTAGTATCCATTAAACTTTATTTTGCTTAATTTAAAATCTGTCCTATGATAGCAGATTTAGCTGCTTGCATATTTGCAAAAAGTTCAGGTAATTGTGACTCTTGCAGCATCATATAAGAAATGAGACAGTCTCTTAACTCTCATGTGTTCCTCATATTTTGGCTTTGGTGGTTTAATGTAAGGAATATTTAACATGACTGTTGCCACATTCAGTTCTGTTGAAGAAAAAGTCTTAGAACAACATCTGATGATAAAATACATCAAACCTACAACCTTTACTAAAAGCACAGCTCTTCGTTCATCAAAATTCAATTGATATCCTTAATTATATATTTTACATCAAGAACAAAATTAGCCATCTCGACCGCCACATTCAAAGCATTGAGTTTGGCAGAAAATGAATCTAATATTCTGGGCTGACTGTCAGTGTTTTCCAGGGAAACAGGAGAGAAAGTGTGGTAAGCTGTATTTAGAGGGGTCTTCTCCAGGTTGGATCTGTCCTCCACAAGGCCACAGCTACAAGTTTTGGAGTATATATCTGGGACCCAGCGATGAGCATATGTCAGGTCAATGAGACAGTCCTGTCCATCATGCTCTAAGGAAAGAGCCACAGATTGCAGAGAGCTGCAAAATGCCTTGACTGCCATGATGAACTCAGAGTGAGAGATGCACAGAGCCTGAGCTATTGTTGAGGCTTTGGAACAATTCTGTGAAGTAAGTGAAAAAATACATTAAATACAGCAGCAAGGAGAAATTACAGAGTACACCAAATGCCATGTCCATTTTAAGGGTGAATAGATTTGTTTGGTCATAGCTCCCCTAGTGGTCATTTTAGTTCATTCTAAATCGGTATGAGTAGTCATGCCAAAAGTTTTGGCAGTGACATAAATTGTGTTTTGCAAAGTTTGCTGCTTCAGTATTTGTAGATTATTTTTCCACATGTTTCTATGGTATACTGAAAAACAATGATAAGCATATCATATGCTTTAAAGGCTTTTATTGGCAAAAATATAATGAGTCAATATTTTCAGTGTTGACCCTTGTTCTGGCATGCTGGATATTAGCTTCTGGGCCAAATCCTGACTGATGGTGATCCATTCTTTCCTTATAGTTCTTGGAGTTGATTACAATTTGTGGGCTTCTGCTTGTCCACTCGCCTTTTGAGGACTGACCACAGGTTTTCTATGGGATTGAGATCCAGGGAGTTGCCTGGCCACGGATCCAAAATTTCAATGTAATGATCTTCAAGCCACTTCTTTATCACTCTTGCTTTATGACATGGTGCTCCATCACGCTGGAAAATGCACGGATTATCACCAAACTGCTAATAGATCGTTGGAAGAAGTCGCTCTTGCAGGACATTTTGATACCATTCTTTATTCATGGCAGTGTTTTTGGGCAGAATTATGAGAGAGCCCACTCCCTTGGTTGAAAAGCAACCCCACACATGGATGGTCTCAGGATGCTTCACTGTTGGCAAAACACAGGACTAGCGTTCACCTTTTCTTTTCCGAACAATCAATTTTCCAGATGTCCCAAACAGTCGGAAGGGAGCT